GCTACTTGCTTTCTCTTAAATAATCAACTTAAATGGTTTTAAAGTTGATTTAGTTGAACTAAAATCACATCATAGAGGCACAGATCTGTTAGTCTGCATAGCAACCACAGTTTTACTGAACAGGAATTTGTTGCTCACATCAATTGTTCTGAGACAAAATTTTCAGCATTCTTTCACTCATTTAAGCAAACAATTGCAACTTCTAAAATTGTAAAACGGCAAAAATTCAACCAAAAAAACCCTCTTTTTCTTTGTAAATTAGTGTTAAAATGTATTTTTCAGGTCCTTAAAACTTCTTCGTTATTTGTTGTAAATTAACATTTACCAAAAATATGTGCCACACTCCCAATATAATCGTTTTTCAACATATGTGTATATTCAGTAAATAAGTAAAGAAAATTTTTTTCAAATAAATCTGAACCGCTAAACTAAACTGTTAAGCAATTTTTATTTTGCATTTAAAAACTGCAAATTTACAATGTTGCATTATAATTCTCATTCGCAATTCTCTAATCTACCAATAAAGAGGCACATTAATTTTAGACCTTTTTCCAATATTTAAATTACTCCAAAATAATAATACACTGTCAATAACACTAATTTATAATTCCTCCAACAGCAACTAACAAACAAAATTTAACAATTTTGCAAAGCAGATTCTTTTAATATTGCTGAATTCAATTGCAAAGCAGACTTTAAAACAGGCAATTTGGTACCCATATTTGCAAATACCAATGTTACAGGATACGGCACTATAAAACTGTTAACCTTTGACATATCGGCTTTCGTTTATTCTAAGCTGTTGCCAATTACCAGGACAATAAAATTGGTTAAGTGATCTACTCAGCAACTTCAGTAGCGCCCAGTAAATACAGCCCACGTTCAACTTTTAATAATACTCTCTCAGTTTTTTCCTGCTCTATGAAAATGACTGTTTTGATCAATGATGCAGCTTAAAGAAGCACTTCCAAATTATGAAATGAAACAGTGAACCGAGGCTAAAAGTGTGTCGTTATTGGCACAAACAGCCGTTATATACATTTAGTCTAAGAATTTGGCTAATATTCTTCCACTATATGATCCATCACAAATGAAATCAATAAGTTTTCCAAACCAGTGATAAAATAATGGAAATTTGCTAATTAACCAACAGATCCGCTTTTCATCGTTTTCAAATGCTCACTCAGTTTAGCGAAACAAAAGGAACAAGAACTTCAGCATTAACCACCACTTTCCCCTACTGCAGTTGCAAAAAAAGCAGCTTTTAAACAGAAGTTCGCAGCAGTTGAACATCGACTATAGCTTGAATAAAAACTGCTGATTAAAATTCGGTGTCTATACAAAACTAAGAATCGGCAGCTATAAAACAACAATAAATAAACTAGTCATTCAAGCTGATTGAAATACTGCTGAACTTTGACTGGCAATAGTAACTTACCGTTTAATTTTACTGGCATTTCACTTGCAACTCTAATTTACTGACCCTCTGAGACTTTTAGAACACAAAACGGTACTTACTTCTTATATCTTACAGCAACTATTTTTTTTTATGAAGAACTTTCTTTCACTTTGAACAAGCGAACCTTCCTACAGTTCCAGGAAAAAAATTGAAGTTACAAATATTTCTCAGTAAACAACAAACAGTTGTAACATCAGAAAAAAGTAACGATAAAATAATGATTAGTCAACGCAAGAAATACAGTTTATTCATATTTGTATTTCAGTAAAAAAACCAACTTCAATAAATTACTCAACTTTACTGACCAATTAAGAAAATTTGATATTTGTCACTGTACTTCAAAAATATTTTAACACTGAAGTCGAAAAAGAGGCATATATTTAAGAAAAAAAGTGTTCGATGCTGAAAAACTATCGTGCATTATGCAAAGGTTTGATAATCGAAAGCTGTAATAAGAGAACAACGAAATCCATCACAAAATTAGGATTAATAAAAGACGGTAAGATTATAATTAAATGCAGCAAATGAACTGATTATTCAGCAACCAGCAAGGAGTATGAAAAATTGTGAAAACAATGCAGTTGCAGGTCATCCATGAGAAAACAAGGCAAAAGCTGATTTAACGCAACAGAAACTTATTCAGTGGTACATTTCTCCTCCTGAATAGATTGTCGGGGAAAAAGTAACTGGAAATGAACATAATGAAGTAATAAGCACCATGATCAAAATAAAGAAAAAAAGTATCGCGAATTTTTCAAAATATCACAAAAAAAACTTGATCTAAACAGTCAAGTCGAGTATGACTTAAAAAATACAATATTATTTTAAAATACCTCATCCATCATTATTAATTTTATGTCTGTCGATATTTCTAGTGGTTCGTCTAGAAATGATAACTCAGTACTCTGGCCGGGCTTCCTCCATAATTGAACCTCCTAAATAAAAAAAAAAAAAAAAAAAAAACAGAGATAAGTTAGCTGAAACTAATAAAAATAAGTGAAACCGTTTCACTTGTTAGATGTTTCTAATAAAAGTAGTTTGTTCATTGAACTAAGAACCTCTTCTTTAGAATATCGTCGATTCTTCTCATCCACTACAACCAACTTTAAGTAATATTTTACAGAAAATATTTTTTCTACATCGCACATAGTTGGAGTAAGTTTATAGCGAGAAAGAAACAGCCTAATTGGAATGGAGTCACCTGAACAAACAGACTCTACTATCAAAAACAGAAACGAAGTTTTTATGGATATTTATAAAACAATAAATATTGGAGAAAATTTAAAGTGAAGACCGTTGGCGGGTGAACCATCCATTATTTCATACATTCCTAACTGTTCTTCTCCTTTGAGACTTCCAGAATTCGTATTCAAGTTTTTGACCGCAAACTCTCTCCTAATTATTGCGATATACATATTTTTAATTTTCTCTTGAACAAGAAGAAAATTAACCTTTCCAATTACTATATCCATCAGATGGTACCTGAATATTACAGAAACAAATGCGATCATAATTTTACTGATTGATCAGATGAGATCGGTAGTAAAATTGTAAACTGTCATAATCTAACCCACTTTACACGACTATGCTCAAAATCAAGATGAAGAACGTTTCCAGCACCAACTTTTAGTTTAACTCCATCTCCTGTATCCAAATGAGAACTTGATGAGTGTACAATAACATTCATTTCTCGACATATATTGTTGAAGTTTTGTACAATAATAAGACGCAGAAAGTATCTAAAATTGCAACTGCAAATTATACGTTAAAAAATAAAGTAAGCAATAAAAATTAAGAAAAGTTTAAAATACAACCGTCCTAGACTTGTTAATAAGAATCACTATGACTTTTTCTTTTAAAAATTTATAGTGTCTAATGTGAGAATAAAGGCAAATTTCTGCAATAAATAATACCTTAACGTAACATATTCCCCAGCATATGACTCATGCTTCATAGCAATCTTTTGAAAATCAAAAGGAAAGCTTGTATTCGACGTAAGTTCACCTGCTTTTGCTAATTTGTGGGTCAACCAAAGAAAATTGTATGGCATTTCATTATCAAAAATTTCTGGAAGAAGGCACGTGCGGCAATTTTTGCAGCTTCAAATGTAATATAATGTTGAATCAGGTAATTAGAAAAATCCTTGCAAAAACTCATTATATCTTATTGTTATTTAAAAAGTAAATGTCAAATTGTACATACGTATTTGTCCTACAAATTCGATATAAATTCCTCGATGGCTAAGCTTTTTTTTTATGTTAATGTTAACCGTACCGGAAACTGATTCCCCATCATAAAACAAATAGTAAGTTTCTAGTGTTTCATTACCTTTAACTGCTTTAACGATCTAGAAAATACAAAATTGTGTATTGGTAGACTATTTACATAAAACAGTTATTGTTTGAAGTACATAAATGCTACTAACTTTTCTGGCGTCAGTATCATTCAGTGTAAAAGATATGTCAACATTTTGCCCGATTCTGAGAAATGACTAAAATAATTGATGGTGATTATTGTTTACAAAAATTTAGAAAACTGATGTTGTTAAAGCCGATTACCTTACATGCAGACAACATAATAAACAAGTATTCGACAGTTATAATTGAAAAATCTGAAATTAATTTTGATAAAAATTATCGATAGCTTTTGTATTAGCAATGTAGAAGTGTGCACTTATCAAAGCGATATATCATCAAAAAACCACGGCAGTTTAATAAAGTTAACACGATATAAAACAAAAAAAAAACAGTTTTATAACCAAATTTCAATCAATGCCACGGTAACTGTTCTATACATCTTTTTTCTTTCACAAATCTTATACAGTTATAAATTATAAAAAAAATAAAAATGAAAAAAAGAATACGAATGTGCCACCTAATTTTAATGCCTTTTCTCTTTTTTTTTTTAACATACTGGTTAACATATTCTCGACTACTGGTTTTGCATTACCACATTTCTTTCTTATGGTTGATAAGTTTTGTCCAATTGTTATCTAAAAAAAATTTTATAAAAAGATAGAACCTTATAAGTTGTTAGGTATTCAAGCGAATAAACATATAAAGTCGACTAAACAATTTAAAATAAGAACAAAAATTTGAAACAATGTTAAATACGATAAATATTATCGGAAGAAAAAAAAAGTTAAGAAAACGATAAAATAAATCTGTAAAAGACACCAAAACTAAAAATCTCATGGCACTTTTAGGTTTTACAAGTATGGAGAAGAAAAAAAAAACAGCTATAAACTTTCACTAAAAAATCGTACTACAAATTACATTGTTGCTGATATGAATCTTTTCCTTTCCTTTTTTTTTTTTCTCTTTTTCCGTTTAACTGTCTTTGCTTTGCAGACAGCATAAAGCACAAATATGCAAAAGTATGCTTAAAAAATATGTGATACATAAGTGTGTGCCAAGCACCATGAAACGATGATATAATAAACCATTGCAAATAGCTATACCACAAAAATATACAGAACTGATATTTATTGTTTAATGATTGTTGAATATCAAAATTCTCACAAAAAACTTATTCAAATTTTTGAAAAAATGTGTGTTTATAAAACAATAAAATGTTGACCACAATTGTACAAATTCATTACTCCATTACTGTAATTGAGTAAAAAAAAACAAAGCAGAAAAATGAGTAAATTATACGTATATATCGAAATCTGAGAAAATAGACTATTGAACTAACAACGATCACTGTAACAGCAGAAGAAGGAAGAACCAAGACTGAAAAGTTAGAAAACAAGTGAACGAAGAATACAATGTATTTGTGACTCTTTTTTCTGCTTCTTTCAATGTGTTCTTCAAAACGGCTTTTATCTATCAAACACCGTAACAGCTCTTCCTTACCTAACCTTAAGTGTCACCATGATTAGCTCTATAACCACTGAACTCACTTACCTTCATTATTCCTTCTCCCCACTTCGTCATTCAACGACTTTTTTTAAACATTTTATTCATCTATTCAAACTTCTCACTTTCTTCGTTTCGTATTATTAAAAAAACAAAAACACTATTTCATCCAAAATTTCACTTTTTTTTTCTGGTTTTGTCATCGTAGTTTTTGAGTGACGCTGTAAAATTAAACGTATTTTGGCTCTTTAATTCATTTTTATTTATCACTTGATCAGAAACAAATTACCGCTCAAAAGGTTAATCATAAGCTTTTTTTGTTTAAATTTTTTATGTTACGTAGTCGGGAAAAAAATTTTTGAACAAATTTATTTTGTACAGAAGTTTTCTCGTCTTCCATCTTTTTCTGCTTCTTTTGTACGTTTCTTTTTTTTTTGCTTGCTAAGCAGTAAGTGTTAAAAGCGGGAGATGAATTTGCTTCTGATACTTGTTTTTGGACTGTTCAAGAATTTTTTTGATGACGAGTTTCTACAGTTTCTTAACCGCAGTCACACTTTATCACTTCTTATAGTTAATTGTCTCTATATTTTTTAAGTACAGCAGTCTCACCTATAATGCTTTTGGTGAAAACTGCAATAACAGCAGAAACGAAAACAATGTAAAATGATAATTTCTACCTCAGTTTTAACTTTAAAATATTAATAAAACCAAAAAAAAGCCTTTCAGACTTTAGTAGAACGTCTTACAACTGTACCTTTATAAACAATTATTTGTATCGGCAGAAGAGATGGCAGCATACTGATTTGTTCCGAATAATTCAGGGACAACTTCTGATCTTTTTTTTTACTTGACAAACTTTTAATTAGGAGTGCTAGACGTGGCGGGTGCAAACCGACTATTAAAAGGAACTTCAGTTTACAGTCTCCTCAAAAAATAGAATCAGAAAAATTTTTTTTTTTTTTTTTTGTGATTAGCAAAAATCTCAAAAATCAGATCACTTTGACGTTAAACAATAATGACGAACACAGATTGTAAGAAAATTTTTTTCAAGAAAATTTAGGCTTCCGAGAAAAGTGACAGAGTAGAACAGTTCACTGACATAAACAAAGACTCATGGCTGCCAAGGAGCTACATATCCGCATGCATCGCTGTATTTTAAAGGGTTGTTTGCAAAGTTCCAGAAATCATCAGACCAGCATCAGTAGCATATCAGTTTGAATTAAAAAAAATTTGGTTTTCATGATTTATTTTAAAATGCAATAAAGGCTCTTTTAGACATGCTTTTTAGCTGAAGAAACGAGCAGTATATCTTGTTTGAACTATGAAAGGGGCTGTTAATTTACAAAAACCGGTGATTTTTTTGTCTTTTTATGAAATAAAGACGCAAGATTTTCACAGCAACACTTTGATGTTGTATTTAGTAACTCTGCAGAGATTAAAAATTGCGTTACTGGCTTATAAAGAAGTTCAAATGCGAAAAAAAAACACCACTGAGAAACACATTGAAAAGAGAATTTCTACTCTGAAGTTGTACAGTGCTATAAGGTTTTATTCTAGTGAAGGCCATAGTGATGACTGGTAAGTAAATCATTGTCACTAAACTCATTGCTTCTTAAGTTGCATCCACACGATGTGTAATCATCATTCTTGGTAACTTTTAATAATATTTTCACAAAATAGTGCTTTAGCTGCCAGACCAGAACAGAGGAACGAAACAGACGCCTCTCTTCAATATCGATGGCCGGAGAAGAAGTATTTTTTTTTTGAAGAAGAAGAAGAAGAAGTATTTCTGAAAAAAGATGATCAGCTGATTACGGTGGACAAAACTACAGTTGCCTGTTTGAACGCTGAATTAAAATTTTAGTTTGCTATGAGGGAAAAGAGAGGTTTGTAAAAATTAAGAGGGGTTTTAGCTGCAAGCTTGTTCAGCTCTCTCCAAATGCTTAGCGGTAATGATTACTCATTAGAACTGAGGTAGAGCATTATCAATGACCTGGCGAAATGACCATCAGTGAATACTGAGTTTCGATCTGTTTCTGATCTGTCTGGTGCTTCTTTGGAGCAAGAATTGGTCAGAAAATAGCTTTGCAAGATTGCGTACTTGACCGTTACTGAAAACAACAGTACGAGACCTTTTACTACTAGGAGAGAAATTGACTAAAAGCCGAAAGGTAAAAGAAACCAATTACTTTTTAAAAAAATTTTTGCAAATCGTTACATAAAGTGATTATGGTGCTCAAGAATTGTCATTGAAAACATATTTATATATAAGTTGCGGATGAACGTTGCGATAATCAGTTTTGCTAATCAAAAGTAGGCAGCGAGCGGTTCGTCGAAACGCAAACTTTTCAATGTCCACAAACGTGCTACGGCAGACAAAAGTAACCTCTAAACATCAAAGATGTAGTGATGTAACTATCCTTCTTTTCTCTTGTGTTCCTTAAAACTCAATTATTACTTAGAACAATTGAAAAGGGTATTTCAGCAGCAAAACCGCACTTGTTCCAAAGCTAATTTGCGCTACTTGTAGCGCAAGCGATAAATTGGCAATTCAACAAGTCAATAAGAAAGTTTACTTGCTGCTTGAATAACATCGTTGAACCGAACCGAGAAATGAGTTCTAAGTTACGAAATTTAATTTCCATTTGCAGTTATGTTGCCATACGATAACGCTGGTGTCTTCTACTATTCTGAATCTTTCAAAAGGTCGTGAAAGACCCAGGCAACAAAATAACGATCCACCTAATGAGTTCTGTAGGAATTACTAAATACAAAGAATATATCTAACTTTTAGCAGTAATTTTCATATCTGTTTATACTATCACGCCTTATCGAAGCTACCGTTGTGTCTTCAAGTGTATCAGTTACCGACACTTTGCAGAGCCTGGAAATAGGTCAACTTACTGATTATTCAAGACTAGCCCGGCACTAGGCAACGTTTCTCTTATAACACTTACATCAGTTCTTTCTCGCTAATACGGTTTCTTCTGTGATGAATAGGCGGGCTTCTGACACACAAGAACAGAGAAAAAATTGAAAATGTTCCACTGTCAGAAGGTAAGAAATAGATGTTGGAAATGACTACCAATTCAAAAAACAAATTTTATTCTTATCTTAACCACAACAAAATCGAAAATACACAAAACATTAGATTATCACTAGCTACTTATTAAACCTGTCCTCAATTAATACACTTTTTGAATGTTTCAACAGCGCATGCTGAACAAGAGTATGGTTCAAAAAAAGTATCGAAAACCAAAAAAAATCGCAGATTTTTGAAGCTTGATAAACAAAAGCTGTAACAAGAGAGCAAAAAAATGCATTAAAAAGTTGCAGTAATAAAGAAAGGCAGTAGAATTATGATTAAAGAGGTTGACTGAGCTAATTATTTTTGCATGTGACAGAAAGTATGTAAAACTAATGCGGTTTTGGTTTATCTATGAAAAATGGGCTAAGAAAATTCAAAAATAAAAATTTTTTATTGTGTGTTTTATACTGTCGGTAGAATATCAAGGACAACGATATATGAAAATATGTATAATTAAATAATATACAGTAGAAACAAAATAGCTAAATAAATTAATAAAAACGACACGGTAGGTTGCAAAAAACACGAAACAAGATTTCAAGTGGAATGACTTAAAAATCAAAAGTGTTTTCAGAGCAGTACATTTTCTATATTTCTCTTCACTTTTCTGATATTTTTAGTGGTTCTTCTGAAAGTGGCAAGTTAATACGTTGAACTGCTTTTCTGCAAAGGTGAATCTCCTAAAAAACTAAAAGAAGTTAGCTGAAACTTATAGAAATAAGTGAATCTTTTTTCAACTGCTGGATTTCTCCAATAAAGCAAAATTTCAAAAATATTTGTTTGCTTGTCAAATTGAGAACCTCTTCTTTAAAATATCGTCGATCCTCTTCATCCACTACAACCAACTTTAAGTAATATCTTACAGAAAACTTTTTTGCTATGTCATACATAGTTGGAGTAAGCTCATAAGCGGAAAGAAACAGCCTAATTGGAATAGTTTCACCTAAACAAACAGATTTCATCATTAAAAATCAATAAAGGATTTTTGTAAAGGTTTATAACGTTAAAAAAAGCAAAAATGAGGACCTTTTACAGGAGCACCATCCATTATTTCATATTCCGCTAAATTTTTATCTCCGCTAATATCGCTAGAATCTGTACTCCATTCCGTTGTTACAGTCTCTTTCCTAATTATTGAAATATACATACCCTTAATTTTCACCCGAACGACAAGAAAATAAACTTTACCGACCACCATATCCTTTAAATGACACCTAAACATCATTGTTGTTAATGTACAGATTATTACACTTACTGAACAAATTAGATTGATTGTACAAGTGTAAACTGTCATAATGCAACCCACTTCAAGTGATCATACTCAAATTCAATTTGAAGAGCCTCTTCAATTCCAACTTCAAGTTTAATTGCTTGTCCGGTATCAGAATGGGAACTTAAGGTATGTACAATAACATCCATCTCTCGTACTATATTCTTAATTCTTTTCATAACAACAACACGTAGGAAATATCTAAAATTACAGTTGCATAAAATTACAGTTTGTTATGCAGTAAGGCGATATAATTGATAAATGTTGAGAAAAGTCTTGAAGAAACTTTTAGAAGTTACTAAAAAAACACTGCTTTAGGTTTCTCCAAAAGATTAAAACTTTTCACTATGGTAATAGAAACAGATTGCTGAACCAAATACCGTAATGCAACATTTTCTCCAACATATGATTCGTATCTCATAGCAACTTTTCGAAAATCAAAAGAAAAGCTCTTTTTGTGCGTAAGTTCACCTGGACCGCTCAAGTCTTTTACCAATGAAAGAAAATTATGCTGACTGCCACGTTCATTAAAAATTTCTGGAAGAACACTTACAATTTTTTACAATTTCTGATATAATAAAAAGACAAAATAGCTGACTAGAGTAAAGCTTGGTAAAAAAATCTATCAAATTTAGTTATGTTATGAAAATAAATCTCTAAATATACATACCTATTTGTCCTATAAATTCGATACGAATGCCCTGATGATCAAGCTTTTTGTCGACGGCAATGTTAACAATGCCAGATACTGATTCTCCGTCATAGAACAAGTAATGAGTTTCCAGCTGCCCACTGTTTCCACGTATTTTAGCAACCTGAAAAAAAAAACAAAAAAAAAACAAAAATATGCACAAATAAAGTTTCTGAAATTCTGAACAAATGAAAAAAATTTAAATTGCATGAATGCTACAAACCTCTCTGGTGTCAGCATCTTTCAGTGTTAGTGCGATATCAGCAGTTTGACTAAAACCGAAAAACTCCTAAAATTAGAAGTGCATATAACCGATTACAAAATTTGGAAAATTATTGTTGCTTAAACCTATCCAAGATAGTCAAATAATAATTCAATAATCGGTTACCATGCATGCAGATAAAATGATTAGGTACTGATTTTCATTTAAAATTTTCTCATTAGATTTCTGTCACATAGTGAATACAAGCCGGCAGCTACTTCAAAAATCTGAAATTAATCTTCTAACGTCCGACAGTAGTTGATGGGTTTTTAATGCAGAAAAATACACTTATGAAAACAACATATGTCACCAAAGCGTCAGAAAAGTCTGATGAAATTAAACAGAAAAAAACTTTAATCAATTATGTAACCCTTTTCCACGAAACTATTATACACATTTTTTGACAGTTTATGGTTATCATCATTCTGTCTCAGATAGAGCAAAAATTATAAGGAAGGAAAGAGAAAAAGTATCAATCATGTAATTTTCAATACTTATTTTTTGGACGTTTATAATATGTAAATAAATCTATAGTGCTAACAGCTCATCGCCGCTTTTGTTCGTTGTGACTGATAAGTTTCTGTTTGTTTTTGTCTAAAACATACCGTCAAAAAGGGTGACTTATTATTTGTTAAATAAGCAGACAAATATAAAATTGACTGAGCAAAATAAGAAAAAACTCGATACTTTTAAACATTGTTAAAGACGATAATTGCCAGAGCTAAAATAAGACAAATAGCAGTTATCAAGGAAAAACGTAATTGCAGAAGGATAATCTGCGAAGAACCACCAAAACCGAAATTTTGATTGTATTTTTCAATTCTACAAATAAAATGAAAAAGAAAAAAATGAACTGTTAACCAACAGTAAACTAATTGTAAAACAGATAAGGTGTTTGCTGATATGAATTTTTGTCTTTTTTTTATTCAACTGTTTCTGTTTGATTGATAACATAAACCGAATTCACTCAGAGATGTGCTCAAAGAGTAGGTAATTCATAATTAGGTATCAAACACATTAAAATGAAAGCCCAATGGACTGGCATAGATAACATTTAAGTTATGAGACAGAAACATGCAAAAGTGTCGTTGAGTGATCATTAAACAATAAAATTGTGTAACAAAACCAGTTCTAAGTGTTTAAAAAAACTCTCTTAAGCAAAAAAAAAATTTAGTACTTCGTTAAAAATATTTAAAAAGCCAATTTCCTTACAAAAACAGTCTTCTCTACCATTCTTTTATATGTTCCAAAATGACTGTTGCAGAGAAGTTTAAATAAACATAAAATAAGTTTTCATTTAAAGAATAAAAAGAAGCTAAATCAATAAATACTGAGTGCTACTTCAATCATTATTTTAAAAAAAAAGAACAAACACTTTAGCATATATTTCAAAAAATTAACTGAATTTGTTTTATTTGGCATACCGAATCATATGGCACTAACAGATAAAAAGTATATGCAACAGCACTGTTCTACAGCGAGATTTCGTTTAATTTCAGTATTTTGATAAGACTTATGTAACTAAAAGCACCATAAAGCGTCATCAACAGATATAAGCAAATGTTTAACTGGAATTTTATAAACATTATAAATTTGTGATTATACATTTGATTTTACTGAGTTTGTAATAAACAGAAATAATTTCAGGTAAAAAACCAAGAAAAATATATGCAACTTCTTTAAACGATCGCAATAAATACAAGAACACTTTGACGCTGTCTGACTGATACATCAGAGGAGTTAACAGATAAATCTGTAAAGGTCAAGATTACTGCAGAATATATTTAAAATTAGTCGCCCAGTTTTGAGTCGACAAATAGAAACCTAATTTTAATGAATATGAATGACAAGAAAAAAAGACAAAAGAAAGAACAGAGGTGGAAGAGTGAAAGACCTATAAACAAACGTATCAGACCTTTTCTTAAATTACTTCATTATTATTTCCTACAATAGTGGCTGCTCAGCAGTTTCCATCATATATTTCTGACGACAGTGTCCTTTTGTCTTCAGTTTAGTAAGTCCCCTCAAAAACTATCCATATCCATCAAAATAATTCTTTGACTGCAACATTCCTACCTGAATTAGCTTTTAGTATCATCGAAATAACTGTCGTCGTCTTTATCATCACTAAAGTCATTTACATTTGATATTTCTTCTCTCCACTTTCTCATTTCCTATCTTTTTCAACACTTTCTTCATTCACTTAAGTTTTTTCTCACTTCTTTTTGTTTGTTATTATTTTAAAAAAATAGAAGCATTATTTTACCTGAAATTTCACTGTTCTATCTAGAAGAAAGGTTGAGTTATAAGTTGTGCTATAAGCTTTATCTGTTCAAATTTTTTTTTGTTATGCAGCGAAAAAAAAATTGTTGAGCAAGTTTGTCGTTTACGTGAGGCTTTTTGCTTTTCGTTTTTTTTTTTTTTTTGTATTTTTGTTTTTTCCTGCTAAGCAGTAAGTGTAAACGCAGAAGATGAACTTGCTTTTGATACTTGTGTTTAAGCTGTTCAAGAACTTTTTTTGTGATAAGTTTCTACAGTTTTTCAACCACAATAATATTTTATCACTCTCTGTCTTCAACTGTCTATCTATTCTTCGAGTATAACAGTTCAACCTGTAATGCTTTCAGTAAAAAAGCAACAACGATAGCAGTTAAAAACAACTTGAAATAACAAATTTTCAATTCAAGCTTAACTTTAATATGATAATGAAATTATTAAATAAAAAATACGCCTTACAACTGCATTTGAAAAACCACTACGAATATCGGTAGAGGATACGGCAAAGCAACGAACAGTTCACAATGACATGAGAAAAATTCTTTTTGTTCAATTGTTTATATCAAAAAATTTTTAATTATTATTTCCAAGGTCTTAAGCATGAACTGGACTGCAAACAGAATTAATGACGATCTCGCAAAAAAAAGACAAAACTATATTTTTTTTCACTTTTTGTTTGTTATAATTGAAAGTTCTGAAAGCTGGACCACTTCAAAGGTAAATGATAAAAGAGAGCAAAGACGGTAGGGCAATTTTCTTACTAAGGGAATTTGAACTTCCAGAGCAAGTAACAATGGAAAACAACTTTCTTCTGTGGTAGCCTATGATCTATAGCTGTCATTATGATACAGAAACCGTTATCAGTGCAACAATTTTCAGAAGCTTTTCTGAAATTTCACAAACTACTGAAATAGCAGGATTAGTACTAACAGTTAAAAACACTTTAAAATTCTTGTGGGTTTTTTAAAAGTAGATAGAAAATTTTTATTCGGTTTGTATCTCTTTGACATTTCTCAGCATTACCGCGCTTTTTTTCCTAAGATAACACCTTTTATTTTTGCATTTCTTTTCGCCTTCTTTATTTCTTTTTTGAAGTCACAGGTAAAAGGTTTTTCTTTGAAGTAATTTCTATATGTTACCTTATGCGTTCAAACCCTGTCTTTTTCTAGCAAAAGATTTCTCATTGAATTTTTTAGTGACAGCTGAGCATACAGCTTTCTAGAGTACTTTCTAAACTAACGCGGTACAGACAACAGGCCAGCGACGTCGATCGACCTTTGCCAGTTGTTGCGTGTTATCTTGCATAGACCGATAAGTAGTGTTCTCAATGATTGTTCCAAATAATAAGCACTGTCGTCTTGTATTCAAAGGGCACTGAACGAGCTAACAATCATAAATTACAATTTTACAATGTATGCTTTATTATTTGGACTAAAGTTTAGATTCAGGATCGAAGTAGAAGAACCGTATTTTTGTTTAATTTTATCAGATTTACTCTATAACAGGTACTTTTTTTTGTCTTACAGTTTTTTTGTTTTTCTAATCGTTTTTATGAATGATTTTGCTAACTACATCTATGGAAAATCCATACCTGAAAATTTCTTGAACCGGATGAAAAGTAAATTTTTAAAAATTATTGATGTAGAAAAAATACAGAAGGAGAAGTGTTTTCAAGAGAAGAGTCTTTTGATATGTTTAAATGGCTTCTTCACACTCTTCATTTTACTACTTAAGCTGCTTTGTTTTAAACAGTAATTACTGACGCAAGAAATTCCTCTTCTTTAAAACTTGAAAAATTGAATTTCACATTATAACCGGAATTCCCCAACAGTTTGAGTTTGCTTCATTACAGTTTTAAGCACCCGTTAAAACTTTCTTAGAAATGTTGTTTTCAAAAATAGAGTACATAAACGGTACAGCTTGTAGACTTCGCTTAGTCTGCCCACTTTAAGTTGATAGTTGGGAGTGCTTTATTTATATTAGAAGCTAATAATTTTTGGGTGTTTGCTTGTTAGACAAAGTATGCCCTCCTTTGAACTTTAGCACCTCATTTCGCTACTGTTGAATTTTATCACAGAATTTGTCTACTTTTATTCTTATTTTCAAAAACTCACTCACTGACAGTTCTTGAGAATTTTTTGAGTGCATTGAAAGTGGCCCAACTTCAAAGCATTCAAAGTAGCTAATTGTGTATGAGCACCTTTAATTGTGCGCATGCATAATCATCAACGATTACCACATGTTTTCACAAAATGTATAAAATTCCTCTAAAAAACTGATTTTTTCACGCTTGCCGAAAATGAATTATATGTTTAATTGCCATAAACTACGAAAAACTGTTTTGTTAGAACGTAATCCCTTCACAACCATTAAAAAAGTTTAAATTTCTAACTGTTAAAGACCTAAAACTGTTGTCAACTATACGGCAATAAACATTCTACAGCAGTCATCAAATAAAACAGTGCCACCGACATTTTCGCTCACCCTCACTGCCAGAATTGTTTCTAAAAGTTTTAAATACACTGTCAAAAGTTGGCTAAAACTTTCAAATTTAGAAGTATCCAAACAAACATCGTTGAACACTTTTAAGGCTATTCTATAGAAAACAGTTTTTAAGCAGGAATTAACGAAAGGAATATACTGAACAAAACAAGGTTTTCACTTCATCTAGATTCCCCCTCAGTTGGCTGCACTTATAAAAAAAATTATTCATAGTACTTTGAGAAAATCCGCATTTGCAGCAAAGAGTGTTAGCTACAAATCGGATGATAATTTCCTTGAATAACTGGTAACTAGTGAAATGGTTTCTTTACATTCGTATCGTAACAACTAGCTTAACCTAGAGTTAAGAACCAATGCGTGGCATGCCTGCTACGAACATCGCTTCAGCTTTGTACACTAGTAATAAACTCGTTAGTCATCTAGCAGATCAGTTTTCCATTCGTTTTGAAGGCTTATTCAGTTCAGCTTAAAAAAAGAGCCCAAAATTCCGAAATCAGTCACTATTTCTTCCCATCATATTTGCAGAAAACAGCTTCAGACAAAAGTCAATAAAAGCTGTTCACCAGCTATACCCTAAATACAATTACTGTCCAAGATTTAAAAAACGCGCTAAGGTAAAAATTCTTAGCCACAAAACACTAGCGTATGGACCAACTATATGTTTAAGCTTAATAATACAGTGGACCTCGACCGGAAGCCTCATATTACTGCTGAATTTTATTCCAAACTTCATAAATAACTGCTTTCCTAGCAGACTTCCGCGGATGGCTCTTGTTACGACGTGACACGTTAACTGAAATTACTCGCACTGAAAATTTAAGTAGCAGGCACCCTTCAGTCTCGGAAAGTAGAAAACAAAAAAGATGCATTGATAGATTGCCTAAGCTAACATAAACGAGGTCCAAACGTTCCTCCACGAGCAATGAAGAACTAGAAGTCAGACAAAACTACCGGTAGAAGTTAAGTGCCTTACAAAGCAAGAAAAAAATTTATTCATTTTTGGACCAGAGAATAATCCAACTTGAATGTTATTAAACAGCCATTCAAGCTACCCTTTGCTGCTACGTTTCATATATGCTTTATCTGTTAAAAACAAGCTGAAATTCATATTTTTTGAACAAGAAACGTAAAAAGTTTGAAGAATTACAGGAACGTTAAGCTGTCGAGCTGGTGCCACAACTGCCTCAGCCTCATTACTTTGAAGTGACATCAAGCCAGCTAACAAAAAAAAGTGACAGTAATTTCTGTAAATAACTTTCTTCTAGCTGAGATAGTATATTCATTATAGCTACTGATTTGAAAGAAATTTGTCGCTAGAGAAAATTTTAAAAATTATCACTTCATTTTTTACGTCACCGATGTACAGTGACAATGCTGCGTCACGCAATCCTCTATTCTTCGCTAAGGCGTTTGGTGTAAGATACTTTCTGCCAGGTTATTTCAATTTAGTCAAATAAAACCATTCATCTTAAAAAAAAAGTATACATAGAAAGTTCATGCACTTGCTCAAAATAACAGACTATAAAAATATGTCATAAATTGTGCTTTAAACCTACAAACTTTATGTGTCATTACGTTTTGTGCCGCATGCATCTCTCAGGAAGTAGCCATTATCTGGTTTATGGTTATAACCATCGCAGAAGTGGAAAAAACAGCAGAAAACTTCCCTGATATATACCACTAAATTAGAAAAAGATAATGAAAACGAGGAAAAAGTTTTATTTGTTTTTTTTTTTCTTTGAAAATGATTTTCATTCCCTTAAAGTGCTGGTAATCAAAAAATATTATTTGATTAAGGACGAAACGTGTTTTGTGCCAAAATAACTTTACATGGGAAAAACGAAGGAAAAGAGTTACGTCTAAATAATATCATTTTAACCTCAATGTGACAGAAGAAACGAAAACATGGCACCTTCTCTGTTTGAAAGAAAAAAGATATCCGTAAGTTTTTTCCTCTTAGGTACTTCACAGTTACACCGCACAAAAAGTTGTTGGATATAAGCAAAATTTGACAAAATTAATTATAGACTACAGAAAATTTGAATCGTTTATACCTCAAAAGTTTTTCCTACATTGTTATAGTAGTACAATTTTGATGTAACCTTTATGAAACTCTACTTCTCCATATAGGATTTGTATCAGTGAAGAGATTACGGAGTTTATAATTCCAGATACTGAAAATGCAAAGACAAAGGTGAAATTGCATCAAGCAGCAGCATCTATCATAACTGCCAGATACTTGTTTAAAACACATAGAGCTACATATGTCAGCTAGAAGCATAGGAGTTGCTTAAATTAACATTAAATTTTAAAGTAAATTTGTTGTATAGAACTTACATTTTTCTCTCATAATCGAGTGACAAACTAAACCAAAAGATTATGATATTGTTGCAACTTTTTTTTTTTTTCTTTTTGAATACTTATAGCAGCTGTCAAGAAAACAGTAGATAAGTACTAAAAAAGTCAGTATTAACAAAGAAAGAAGCATTTGGTTCTGAATCAAAAAGCCACTGTTCTTATTTTTAAACCATTACTGTTGCCCCCTTTCAGCGAAGTTCTGTCAGAGGTAACTGTACAACAATTGTCGTATAATTGTGAAACTGCTAACAGAAATCGAAACTTTTTTACACTGCTATGGTGTGTATGTCGTAAAATTGTTTGTTCAGGAAGGAATAAAGGAACCGTTAACTGCGATTCTACCCCATGTAGAACATCGTCAAAAAACCATAAATCCCTGCTGTAGATGTATATCAAGAAAGAGTATAATGATTTTAAAGTTCTGAATATTTGTTGCTACATGTGACCTCTACTTTCTCAGTTATATGACTTTATTGTCCAACTTAACCTTGGAAAGGCAATTCAAATGTTTCGGTTTTTTTTGCACTTTTATTCAGTAGACGTTCGTAAACAATGCTTTGGCGTAGACAGTTATTAGAGCACCAAATAACATGCAGAAGAGAAGCATTCTGTTCAAGACAGTTATGAAACCTCCTTAAAACTACAGCTTCGAATGCGTCAAAAGTTGTAGTTACGATCACGCTTTAAGAGCGCAGAAGTTGTACCGCTCATAAACTAAAGTATCTGATCTGTCTCGTTGTTCGGCAAATTTATCATAGGTGTCAGTGAATTGTTGTTGACAAAGATAAGATGACACAAAAAGCCATTACGACTAATGAAATAAAGTTCCTTTCTTAATTTTAAAGTATTTTTTTGCACCTAATGCAACCTTCTCTCTCTCTCACATTCATTTCAAAAAAATGTTACTGTCGATAAATTACAGAAAAAATTAAAATTCAAATTTAATCAGTAGAGTAACACTTCTCAGATACTAATGCTTGTTTAGTCTACAAAAAAAAAAATTTGTATTGTATATTGATATCCAGGGAACTTCCCATAACATTAATTAGCCTCTTCAAAGAAGAAACGAAAAAAAACTGAAAATATGCTGACTCTGATGTCAACCCAATCTAAAGTTTATTATACTTTTCAGGAAAGAAACTCTGATAAACTTCAATCCTTGGGCTAAGTTGGCGCCAAAGGACCTAGCCAACATTTAGCCATCCCTGAGCCAATGAATAAATTTTTTCGGAAAGCAAATTTTATGTGTTGTAGATAAAACGACAACTACTTGCTTAAACCGATTCAAAAAAGAATAGCTACATCTTCAACGGTGTGGAATTTCAAACAATCCCCCAACAATTATCTCTGACTTCAGATCTTACGTATTTTATCAATTTGACTTCGTCTGAATAAGCATCGATTAATATTTCTGAGAGTGCTCCTTTGGGAAGAAAGAAGCAATAACACAGTGGAAACACTGGTCATCACTCACCAATGATAATACAATGAAAACTAGCTAATTAACTGACAGATCAATTCCTCATCCCTCCCAGATTGCTCACTCTCAGGTCAGTTAAACCAAAAGAGGGACGACTTTAACAGTAACCAATGTTCGTCCTGCATGCGCTCAGAAGAAGCAAGCTTCAGATAGACGTTGACAAAAACCAGCCAAAGAACACAGCACATGTACCAAGCTAAAAATGTTCGGTTACAACACACTGACAAACAAACTAATTGTTTGAGAATTTACTTGCGCGTCTCAAGCTTCAGCTAGGAATCTCAAACTACCGGTAACTTTAATGTACACCTTTTTGTAACACCAACCCTGTCTTTGACCCTCCACAGACGCCCTCTCAAAAACGAAATATTTTAATCCCTTCCAAGTACTTCCCTACCGTAGTCATTATTCCAATCTCAAGAACTACGCAACAACAGCGTAGTGCCAGACAACAGATTAGTATAAAAATAAAGTTAAAATATCTCCGTGCTGAAAACAAATTACAATTATGAGACAGAAATATAAGTTAAATGCACTTCAGGGCAAGAAACAAAATTTATTCACGTCTGAACCAGTGCAAAATACGACTTAAATATTACCGAACAACCAATAAATCTATCACCTGTCGCTACGCTTTATAAATACTTTGACTTCCAAAATGGTTCAAAAGGGGTATGCTTAGAAAAACGAACATAAAAAGACGAAAAGATTATGCGCAAGTTGTAACTCTAAAATACAACAACGAGAAAAAAAAAGGTAAAGGGCAACCAAGTTCATAATTCACCAAAGTTATAAGTTTAAAAGGCACAGTAAGATTATGATCAAACAAAATGAGTTTGCTGATTATTCAGTACTCAACGAGAGGAATACAAGACCGAAAAGACATGTAAAATTACACCTCAGTTGCAATACCTTAAGCTTAATCAACTTAAAGCAAAAACAATTCCTTCCACATACTTCCGTTACTGTTAGTAAAATGTTAGAAAAATTTTAAGTGAAAACCCTCAAAAATAAATAAATATAGCAAAGTAAACAACAAATTATCTTCTTAACTGCTCGGATCAAGCAGTTAGGTGAAATAAGATTCAAAAAAATAAAAATAGTCTCAATTCACCACATCTTCCTCACCGATCCTGATGTCTTGTGATACCGATGTCTCTTCTGGAAGAGGATGCCTGTTAATCTGCTCCGGTTTCCTCCACAATATAATCTCCTACAATGAAAGAACATTTTTGAAAGCTCAAAAGAACTAAGAAAAGCTTTTTAGCTATATAAATCTGTTTTTAAAATATAATTGTAACCTGTTGCTTAAAATATCGTCGATCTTCCTCATCCACTAACACAAGGTTCAGATAATATCTTACAGAAAACTTTTTTGCGATATCACGCATCGTTGGGGTAAGTTCGTAACCAGAAAGGAATAGTCGAATTGGAATAGACTCACCTAAATCAAAAAATTCCACTGTCAGTGAGCACTGAAACCCAAACTTAAAGTTTTAAAACCTGAGAGATGCCAAAAAAAGAAAAACGAGCACCTTTCACAGGAGCGCCATCCATTATTTCATATTTCGCTATATTTTCATTCTCACTAAATACATTGGGAGGTGTGCCAACAGTCTCTTTCTTGATTATTGCTATTTCCATATACTTGATTTTTATTCGAACGAGAAGAAAGTAAATTTTTCCAACTATCACATCTTTTAGATGATACCTAAGCATTATGAATAAACATGTAGTTTGAGTCATTTCTTAATAAAGCAGATAATGCAAGTATCAGTTGTGAGATCAAAAAAAAAAAAAAAAAAAAAAAAAAAAAAAAAA